ATGATGATGATGATGATGATGATGATGATGATGATGATGATGATGATGATGATGATGATGAAGCAAAGAAAGCTCCCAGTTGTTTCCCAGTTATAGGCAGTGTGATACAGACCCCAGAAAAGCAAGAGGAGACTCTACTACTGGTTCAAATGGTGTCAGTATTTCACTCATCACCTTCAGAAGCAACAGTGGACACTGGCATGGCTGCAGGTCCAGGATCTGCTCCCTTCAGATTATAAGTAACTTTTATATGTTCTTTAGAAAGAAGAAAATCTGAGAAGCAACACACTGACCTCACTCTGGGACACACCGAGTGAGCTGCAAGTTGCTAAACACCTAAGAGGGTTCAGCAACCCTCTATCACTGTTTGGAGATAATTTAGTACCCGTCAAAGATGTCATATTGAGTGCCCTGAAGATGTCAACTGTATAGCCCAGGCAGTGACATGTTGAGAGGACAAGATTCCTGCAACACTGTGGGAAAACTCTGTGCTGAGCAAACTGAGATGAACTATTACCCCAACCCTCCAGCACTGCCCTGACAGAGGATGTTGCATTAAACCAAATCAGTGGGAGAAATATGATTTATTTAACCCTTAGAAAACGTTCATCTGTATTTACACTGCCAAAATGCTTTTAGCAATGAAGAATCGCAAAGATGAATTTCTGCAATTATTAATTCAAAGAGATTAGGGCTTGCAAGATATTAGGAAGAAAAGTTATGTTATAGGTATAAAAACTGCTAAAGAGCTGGTAATGTCAGAAATGCTCCATGATAGACTGTTTGAAGCGACTTAACACAAGTTCTGTCCATATAAAAGGATTTGGCTTGTGGAAAAAAAATATACAATCTCTCTCTATATAAATATATATAAATCCAATAACTCAACTGGCTCAGTTACATTGATTCCTGAGGCTCTTTCATTGCCACCCTCTATTTTCTGCACACACAACACAGTGGTGATGAGTGTGATTGAAGCATCTACACAGATCCATGTGAGGAAATATCCTGAGCAAAAAATAGCTTTCACTGAAAAAAATGTCCTTTACAAATCTAAATTTAGTGGGCGTTTAAAGACAGATTGTTTTACAACAGAAACAGAAAAGATTTCATGTCTATTTTTCTTTTTTCCTCTCCTTTTTTTTTCCCTTTTCTCTTTCTTCTTTTTTACCCTCAGTTTTTTTTTTCCCAATTCTATGGGGTCAGGGTGAAAGACTTCACCAAAGGAATACAAATGAAAAGAAAAAAGAACAGGAAAGTGAAGAAGGAAAAAATACACAGGTGGCAAGAACCTACTCAAAATATGTGATTTATTAAATTATAGGCTTTGCATAAACTTTTAAAGCGAGCTAGAAAGATGTTTTCTTTAGGAATAGATAGACCAGAAGTGGATTTATTGACCAATGACAAGCAGTAGATGGAGAGAGACTGAGATTTGGGGGTTATTTTGAAGTTTTATGTTACTGATCACAAGGACTAGGCAGTTTTGTTGCTTTGCACAGCGTGTATACTGCAAGTTTTAGTGAGCAGAGCTTCTCTTACTGTGGGTTTTATAGAAACAAACTCAGTGGGTCTGAGTCACAAGTGTTGTTATAGTGCAAACAGTAAATAAAAAGTAAAGGGAAGACAACAGGATTTTAGTGTATTCCCACTAGAAAATTATGCCCTATGGCTTATTGTAAGAAAAATGACCAAAAGTGATTAACCGCATCTAGAATGTGATTTTATTTATCTCTGTCTTGTTGTTTCACCCCACACACGTTTACCTCCTCTTATTTGCACCAAATCTAGCACTAATCTCCCAGTACCTCTCACAGCCCTGGTGGTACCAAGTCATCTTGGAAAACCCCAGAGGAACTTCACAAACCAAGGGCTTGGGCTCTCAGGTGGGTCTGGCTCCTCATTCCTTGGCTCTAGCAATCATTAGAGGCCAAGTTCTGTCCTTCATGTGCTGTTATTCCAGGCACGTGTGACAACAGCAGACCTGTCATTGCTGCTCCTCGGAGATTCCTTATCTTCCATACTCAGCTACTCGTTAAAGGGATGATGATTAAGTGACACAGTGAGGTCAGGGGACATCTTGGGGGCAGGATAGTGCTGAGCCCACCACCAAAGCTGGCTTGGTGTGGTCACCTCTTGTTGGGGAGTTCCCACATGCTCTAGAGATGTTCTCCTGATAAAACAGAGTGAGGAGGAGGGGATGTCCCAGCTGGATTATGGAGCACAAAGATGCCAGATGCTGTTGACCCCTCTAAAGTCTTCTCAGATAGAAAGAGATCCTTCTCCTCCTTTTAAAAGCATTAAGTGTTTTAGCTGAAATCTTGACATCAGTCTTTCAAATAAGAAGTCGCAGGAGCCAGATGGAATCATAGAATCACAGAATATATTGAGTAGGAAGGAACCCACAAGGATCATCCAGTCCAACCCTCAGCCTTGCACAGGACCAACCCCAAGAGTCACACCATGTGCCTGAGAGAATTGTCCAAACACTGCTTGAGCTCTATCAGGCTTGGGGTTGTGACCACTGCCCTGGGGATCCTATTGAGTTCCCAACCACCCTCTGGGGGAAGAACTTTCTCCTGATACCCAACCTAAACCTGCTCTGACACAACTTCAGGCCATTCCCTTGAGTCCTATCACTGAAGATGTGTTCAGACTCTATCTGACCAGTGCTCATCACAGATTGATTCCTATTCCTTTAGAGAAGTAAGTGTTGTATCTGGATAGGTTGGATGGGACTCTGGACAACCTGCTCTAGTTGAAGATGTCCCTGCTCATTGCAGGGGGTTGGACTAGGTGACATTTAAAAGGTCTCTTCCAACCCAAACTTTTCTATGATTCCATGAAAAGTGACTCATGTAGGACTTGATGTGTTATCCAGAAACAGGTCATGCAGTGAGGATGAAGAGTGTAAGTCTGGGTTCTCATGCAGCAGCAAAGATTCCTTCACAGGCACTTCCCACACCGAGGGACAACGTCCCTCATTGTCCAGCATCGAGGCAATGAATGGCATTATAATTCAGACAGTATTTGAGGTAATATTAGAGGAAGTCACAATTCTTGTTCCTCTTCCTGAGCAAAGAAAGGAAGAGAACTAAGGGCCAAAATGAAATGTAGGATTTGCCAGGTAATAATTGCTGTCCCATATAGGAATTACAGGAATTTAAAGAACATAATTCTCTGTAACCAAAACTGAAATGCCTCCAGTTCCACTCTTTCCCTCACTACCACATTGATTATGACTAAATCTTTCCCAGAATATGTGAAACCTTTTAATAAATGAGATTTCTTCTCCCTTAGGCAATCTGTCCCACCCCTTCCCTGTCTTAGGAAATCTGACTAAAATGTAGCAGAACTTCTCTTTCAATGGAAGAATATTCCAACAGAGCTGGTCAGCAGGCTCTGACAGACCCTGAAGTTCTCCAGAACCACATTTATTTTCACAGAATCACAGAATATGGTGAGTTGGAAGGGACGCCCAAGGATCATCAAGCCCAGCTTCTGGGCAGGACAACCCCAAAAATCACACCTGAGAGTATTGTCCAAGTGCTCTTTCATTTAGATGCCAACTAACTGTCAGTTGATTCTGGGCCTGGAAGAATCCAGCTCTTCTCTATCAGCTCCTGGTGATCCCCTTGCTCTTCCCTTCCCAGATTGACAGTATGCAGGCCCTGCTCCACTGCCCCAACGTGCTGGTGTGTGTCGGCCGGGAGCCCTTTAAACCTGTGTCCATGGAGAATCTGAGGAAACACTCGGTGGAGAAGCTGCCCAACCTGCCTCCCCGTTCCAACGGCAACAATGTCAACGAGAACAATGAAAGTAAGCAAAGCTCTGGGTGTCTCCAGGCCTGTGTCCCATAACATGGGCGTTACAGGCACCCATTGTGCTGCCTCAACGTGCAGATTTTGTGTGGAAAATGCATTTCCCTCTCCCTCCCTCCCAGGCCTTTCCATCCTCCCCTTCTTTTTCTCTGGTTTCCTTCTAGGATTTCCTCCCTACGCCCCCCAGTCTTTCTCTTACATGCTCCCCGTGTCTGGTTGACTTCCCTTCCTCTTTCATATCTCTGTGTCTCCTTTTCCTTCCAGAACTCCCTCCTTTCCTGTGTCTGTCTCCCCAAACCCTTGAGATTTCCCACGGATCCTCTATCCCCTTGTCTGTCTGTCATGTCATGCCTGCACTCATGGACTTCCCCGTACCAGGACCAGAGGATGCCCTGGTTCTGTCAGCAGGAGACTCAGTTTCTCCTGCAGGTTACAGCTGCCCTTTTGGGAACAAAGCATATTTTTATGGAAAGGTTATTTTCAGGAAGGAGTATGTTATGGATTATTCAGGATTATATTTCTTATTATATTCTTCACCATGAGTTATCTAAGGTCACAGGTAATTAAACCAGCCACCCTCTTAGCCTATAAAAGGAAACTTCTCACTTCCAAAGGGCAATAATCTCACATCTATTAGGGATTTGTTGTGGGATGAAATTAAATGTGCTCTGGAGGTGGATCTGTTTTTCTCCATTGTCAATACCAGGAGCTGGGAAAGAGTCACTCGTGTGTTGGCAACTAGTTGTAGAATTTTATGGACAGAGACATTCCACACTCACTGCCTGAGACACAAAAAACTGGGGGGAAACACGGGAATAAACTGGACCTTTGTCCACCAAGAGATCGAGAAAATATATCAGTTCAAATGAATAAGGATGGTTAGAGAAAGCTATTTTGTGTGTTATTGGCCTTGGCTGATGTGCTCCTGTTCAACTCTCCCTTCCCAAAAAACCTCTCTATTCAGCTGCGTATCCGTATGCCCACAGAGACACATGATTGTTCAGATATATATACAAGTAAATTTTGGACAAACATAGATTAGAAACAAGATAGATGAATGTCTTTCAAGGCAGCCTGATAGCAGCATATTCTTCTTGAAATCAAGGGTCTAGGACCTCAGTAAACCTATGCATGTCACTGCACTGGGCCATAGAGATGCTTCAGATTACAATTCTCAAATTCCCTTCCTATCACTGATTCTTTCTGTAAATACCACTATTTATCACGAGATTACAACTCCTTTTCCATTTGTTCTTTATGTTTTAATAAACATTATAATTATTGATAGTGGCACATCCCTGAAGGGACTGAGTGTTGCTCTGGTCTACATGGCCACACGTTTCCTGGCATGTGAATGGAGAAGTGGACAGTGCACAACAAATCATAGAATCATAGAGTTGGAAGGGACCCATCAGGACCATCGAGTCCAACTCCTGGCCCTGCACAGGACACCCCAAGAATCCCACCATGAGTCTGAGAGCATTGTCCAAACACACCTTGAAGTCAGACAGGTTTGGTGCTGTGACCACTTCCCTGGAGAGCCTGGGAATGTGTAACAACTGACCTGTAATTAAGGAAGAGAATAATTTCTCCGTGTATTTTTCCCTGGCTGAATAAGAAAGATGAAAACTTGAACAATTAAAGAAAGGAGTATTTGCAACGTGATAAAATATCAGAACTCTGAGACTAAATTGCTCTCTGTGTGTGTATTTATTTATTTATTTAATTATTTATTTGACTTCCTGGCATGCACTTAGTAACACAAACTGTTTCTCTTTCAATTTAGATTATAAAAAATGACGAAGTTAAGGTATTGAAGATTTTAATACACATGATTAATTCAAATCTTAACATTTAACAAGGAGGTTGGATTAGATGATCTCCAGGGGGCCCTTCCAACCCTAATTATTGTGTGACTCTGTGATTTATGGCCATCACTTAGTCAAAGACAAATTTTCAAATTACATAAATTGACACAAGCTTGGTTTTAATGAAATAACATCAATATTCTCTAGTTTGAGGGTTTGACTTAGGTATTTTGTGTCATCTTTATATGAGTTAACATTTCTCTCCATCTTTCTTTCCTTCACTCCAGTGAACTTCGGACTGAAAGCCAAAAAAAGCGTTATCCATCCGCGGTCGTCATCAAGCAACAGGTCCATGAGATTTTCTTTGTCATCGGAAAAGTCGTATCCTAACGGTCTCGCTGCCTCACCGGATAATGGAGCACCTTTCTCCAACGGTTGCTCCCACCCCAAGGCTGGGGAGCTGGTCCAGTCCCTGGTCAACGACGACATAGAGAAGCGGGTGCATGTGAACAAGGATGGGAGCTTGTCTGTTGAGATGAAGGTCCGCTTCCGCCTGCTGAATGATGAGACCTTGCAGTGGTCCACCCAGATCAAGAAGTCCAACCTGCTGAACCGGCTGCCTTGTGAGGAGTCAGGAGCAGAGGAGGACAGTGGAGTGGACCCCCTACAGAAAATGAACCCAGAAGTCAGCTCAGAGGCGGATGACTCGTTGTATCCCTGTGAGATCGATTCCTATATGTCAAAACTTGAGGAATCCGAGTGTGACGAGGCTCACTGTCACAGCTGTGGGAAGAAGCACCAGGACTATGACATTTGGAAGAACCCCATGCACACATCCCAGAGGGAAGAGCCCAGCGTACGGAGCACGTGGCGCACGCGGTCGTCATGCTCCAGCACGTCCTCCCGGAGGAGAGTCGTCCACAAAAAAATTACTTCCGTGGACAGCCTCCACACCACATCCAGTGAGGAATTCTCTGAGCACATTGTGAGAGAGTCCTCGTCCTACTCAGAGACTATAGAGAACAGAGTGGCGTATCGATCCGTCAAAAAGTGCAGGTGCCGAAGTGATTTGTCTACAGGTGCTTCCATTGGAGAAGATCAGCAAGGAGACACTCGGGCAAGCACAGGGAATGGCCAGAGACCTTCATCCGTGGGCTTAATGTCACATTCCAGCTGTGAAAACAACCTGGATACTCAAGACTCCCCCGAAGACCATGAGATCAGCAAAACCATTTCACAAAATGAAGAGGAAAACTGTTTCGAAGCTTCCTCTGTGAAGGGCTTAAAGGATGACGTGGAAGAGGTTGAAAGCAGCAGAGTTGGGAGTGTCATGTCAAAGTCATCCCTGCAGTCCAAACGGAGCAAGAATAATGTCTGTGAGGAAACCAGCAGTGTGGGTAGGAGCATGTCCTCCTCCTCAAGCCTTCAGAAGGCAAATCAAGCAGAGAACTCTCGGAGCTCCACCCCTGCCAACAGTGTGCACAGCAAGTCCAGCAACTGTACCACCCAAAAAGCAAAGAGCGAGCAGGATGACCAGTCTGATGAAAATCCAGTGGTCTCCTCCTTGTCCAGTGAGTCCTGCCCTAAGAAAGAGGCTGAAGAGGCAGAAGAGGAAAGTGAAGTCAGAGAAGTCAGCTCAGTGTCAGCAAAAACAAAGCCCAGCCAATCAATTAAGGATGAGAGCAGTGAGGGGGAACGATGCTCTACACAAGGAAGCCACTCCAGAGCTACTGACAGGAACAGCAAGAAAAGTGACAGTGATGAGAACGTTGCATGCAACATCTCTTGCTCTTCCACAGGATCCAAAAAGAGCAAACGCAGCCACATTCATTTGGACGCACGGTCTGAAATGTCTGTGTCTTCACTTGGATCCTCTCCAAATAAAAAGAAGAATTCCCTACATGCAGATGATGCAAGATCGTGCAGCAGAGCATCCAATTACTCCAAAAGCTCATGTGAAACCAAGAAAAAATCTGTTGGAGATGCCATGTCTCAAAAGTCAGGATCTCTTCAGTCAAACATTTCATCTACTAGTGTAGCAGAAGCAACTGCAGGTCCTGCTGAGGAGAAAAGCTCTAAAAGTACCACCAGTCGCTACAGTGAATCCTCAAAAGGCTCAAAGAAGAGAAGCCATAGAGAAGACAATAGTAAACCATCATCCCTCTGCTCAAAATCTTCAAGTCCTAATGGAAAAGCTGGAGAGGGTCATGCCAAAGTTAGTTCAGAGCTCTCTTCTTCCAGACAGGGAAGTATGAGTGGGAGTGTGTGTTCCAAAGCTGACCACGCAACTGAGAATGAGATTAGGAATGGAAAGCCTACAAGTAGCTCCTCAAGAGTCTCTTCAAAATCAGAAGTAAAAGATAAATTCTTGTTGGCACAGGTATCCCAGGAGACGGATGAGAGGCGTTCACAGTCAAACATGTCTCAATCTTCAAAGTCAAGGCAGACAAAAAACAACAATCTTCGGGTGAAGATGTCAAACTCCAGCCGGGCATCACTGTCTGAGAGCACGTCGGTGCACAGCCTGCACTGCCCTGCCCCACCCAAAGGGAAGCCAAAGAGGAAAAACATGCGTCCAGCCATATTGAAGAATTCCTCCGTTAGCAGTGTAGGCACCAAGTCGGTGCTGAGCACAGGAAAAGAGCAGAAAGAAATTGTAGATTCCTCCAAAGAGACTTCCTATGGGTCTAGGTCAGCAGCACCCGAAGTAAACGATCAGAATAATAAAGAGACAGATGATTCTTGCAAAAAAAAAGCAGAGGAAGCATCAGAAGACACGGGTGTGCAGGAGGAAGGGAGTGATTTAATGCCATCTGCTCTGCCAAATACGTCTCCAGAAGAAGTTGTGCAAGAGTGGCTCAGAAAAATCCCTTCAGAAACGTTGCTTGTGAAATATGAAATGGAGGATGATGTGGAAGAGGAAGGTACAGAGACAGTTACCGAGGTGTCACACTGTACACACGCCGAGGAAGCTCCAGAGGATGAAAAAGCTGAGGAAAAGAATGAGGAGGAGGCTGAAAATGAAGCAAAGGTTGAAGTGGAAGGAGAGACAGCAGAAGACACAGCAATTAATGAAGAGGTTGAAGAATGTGTGAACCAGGAAGAAGTCTGTGAGGTTGCAACTGAGGCTGCCAAAGCTGAGCAGGCAGAAAGCAACCAGTCAGTTACCTCCAGCCAAAATAACAACAGGAGAGACCTGCCCACCTCTGTCCAGACTTCCGTCCAGATCATGAAGGCCTTGCTCAGTTCAAAACACGAGACCAAATTCGACCGATCGAACAGTTTGCCCGAAGTGTCCCCCACCATGGGGAGAAAACTCAGCAACTCCGCCAACATTTTGATTACTTGTCTTGCCAGTCTCCAACTCCTTGATGAAGAGTCAGAAGACCCATCAGACAACTCAAAAGCTTTGAATAAGTCAAGGTATACAGAGCTGCTGAATATTTTTCAAGCCCTGTGGTTGGGATGCACAGCTGAAAGGAGTGGTCCAAGCTCAGGTCAAGAGGCCAGCGAGCAGGCAAAGCCAGACCTGGGGTTTAAAGGCCCAAAATCTATGGATCACGCCTTCACTCACATGTCTTCCTCTGGGGTTGATGTCTGCAGTGGTTCTGGTGGCTCGGGAGAAGAATGTACAGCTGGTGCCACTTTGGTGGCACAGAAAACTGCTGAATTCAAATCAGCCGAAGTGGAAAATACAGAGACTGGCACAGAAGTGACTGAGGCTGAGGAGCAAAGTAAAGAGGGAGCGCAGCCATCCCGCCCTTCAACAGCCTGCTCAGACTCACACAGAGAGGAAAAAGCACAGTCTGCTAAAGAGGAATCTCTAATTCAGGAGGAAGAAGAGAAGGAGGAGGATCAGTGCCATACCTGTGAACATGGTCAGGAGGAAGGGGGAGAAAATGAAAATGAAGAAACCAGCAAACTAGTTGAAACTGGAGAACAAGAAGAAGCTGGAGCTGTGAATGATGAACTCCCACAAGAAAATCTGGAAGCCACCACTGATGATACAAATGTCAACAATGCTGATGCTGAGATGGAGATAAAAGCTGATTTGGAAGGGCATCTTGAAAAAGAGTCACCAAGTGACCCAGAGCCCAAAGTCAGTACATCCACCAGTGTGGGCACATCTGTTGTCCGGCAAAAGTCAGTGGATCCAGACCCAGTCTGGGTCCTGAGGCTGCTCAAAAAAATCGAGAAGGAGTTCATGGCTCACTATGTCAATGCCATGAATGAGTTAAAAGTTAGGTGGAACCTGCAGGATAACCAGCAGATGGATGAAATGATACAGGAGCTGAAGGAAGAAGTGAGTAAAAGGATACAAAAAAGCATAGAGAAGGAGTTGAGGAAGATCAGAAGCAGAGTTGGGACAAGGGTGCCAAGACCTCCAGATGAGCCACTCACACTGGAGTCAAAACTCCAGACAGAGCAGAGGAGGTGGAGATTGCAAACTATGCACAAAAAGTCACTCTTTGGTGGCAAGAACGGCAACCAGAGCAGGCTGGAGGAGACAATAGACTTATCCCTCGATGTAGATAAAGACTTAGCACTCAGCGCAGCTTTTGATGACAGTATTAGTAAACAATCAAGCGAGGAGGAATATTGTCCATGTGACTCCTGCGTGAGGAAAAAAATGGCCTCCAAGCCCCAAAGACTCCCCATGGTGGCCACCAATGCCCCAGTCATGAAAGCATTTGATTTGCAGCAAATCCTGAGGCTGAAGAAAGATGATAAGGAGGAAGCCATTGTTGCAGAAACAGCCCAGGACATCAAAGGTGAACCCCAGGCAGGTGAAGAAGAAGTGGAGGACAATGAAGAAAAGGAGCCAGAAGTAAATGAATTGAATGGAGATGGAGAAGAACCTGAAATAGCAGAGAGTCAAAAAGGTGAGGGGGAGGATGAGGTGCAAAATGAAGAAACCAAAGAAGATGAAGCAGAAGAAGTAGGGGAAGAAACAAAAGAAGGAGAGGAGGAAGAGAAAGAGGAAGAAGAAATCGTTAAGGCTGAAGAGGAGGAGGAAATAAAAGAGGAGGAGGAGGAGGGAGAAACAAAAGATGAGGAAGTAAAAGAGGAAGAAGCAGAGGAAAAGAAAGAGGAAGAGGAACTAAATGAGGAGGAAGGGAAGGAGAAAGAGGAAGAAGTAAAAGAGGAGGAAGAAGAAGAGAAGGAGGAGGAGGAAACCAAAGAGGAGGAGGAAGAAGTGAAGGAGGAAGAGGAAGAGGCCGAAGAGGAAGAGGCCAAAGAGGAGGAGGAAGAAGTGAAGGAGGAGGAGGAAGAAGCAAAAGAGGAGGAAGAAGAAGTGAAGGAGGAGGAGGAAGAAGCAAAAGAGGAGGAAGAAGAAGTGAAGGAGGAGGAG